GGTCAGCCACATTACCTACTGTGCGATTGCTCCAGCCCCCCTTTTATGAATCTTTTAAGGGCCATTGAACTCCTTCATAAAAGATAAACTTTCTTTTCAGAAGAAATCATCCTGGGACCAACAAAGGATAAAGACTGGACTGGAGAAATGGGTTAATTCCTTCTTCCTGACTTTTTCAGCAGGTGGGGGGAACATAGAGAGATTTTCAAGTCCTACTTTTGGTGTCTATGGACCGGTACTAGGGATTCTGTTGACTGCTAAGATTCAGGGGTGCTGTGGCACTCGGCCCTGGGGTCTTATTTCTGGAGATCATCAAGGCTGCCCCTGCAGGGATTTTGGTGGGTACATTTAGGGTCACAGAGGAAGAACTGAGGGTCTCTTGAGCTGCCCCTGGCCTGTGCAAGTCATGTCCCTAACCCTGCACCATCTCCCAGTCCCCCTCTCTTCTCTTAAAAATCACTGTTGGATCAAAATGTGATTGAATAATTAAAAGTTATAGTCCAAATCAAAGACTGCATGTAAGAAAAAGAGGCAAAGAACTTCTTGATAGTATCTGGTGTTATTTTCAAAGACTCAACTGTTGGTAAGAAAAATCACAGCCGATATATAAGAAAATGGAGCGTCACGGTTGTGGCTAAGAAATATACTACTTCCTTACATCATGCATGAAACTCTGTATTTTATTCCTGGCATTACAAAAAAAATGTGATTCCTTTAGACACTCTTCTTTGCAGTGAAAGAAACGACATTAAAACAAAATGACATAATGAAAAAAAATCACTGTTGGGACCTGAGTGATAGTACAGCGGATAGGGCATTTGCCTCACATGCAGCTGACCTGGGTTTGATTCCCAGCATCCCATGGTCCCCCGAGCACCTTCAGGAGTAATTCCTGAATGCAGAGCCAGGAGAAACCCCTATGCATTACAAGTGTGACCCAAAAAAGACAAAAAAAAATAACTGTTTGGGGGTATGGTGCCGCCAGCAGGTCAATCTGTACCTGTGAGGCAAGTGCATCAGCAGCCTGATGGTGCCTTCAGACTTCCAGATACCCCAAAATTGCTGCAGTGCCTTTGGCCAGACCCCAAAAACTTGGGGCAAAGTTTACCAAGAAAGTAAAGGGCCAAAAGTTAGGTATGTGAGAGACACACCCACAAACCACCCCAGGCTCAGCTATATAATTGGGGGCATGGCCTCTCTGGTTTCTGATCAAACTGCTTACTGGCCATGATCCCAGAGACTCAGAAACAAATCTCGAAACCCAATGGCTTTTGGCAGAAATGTGTCCGGTCCCTGCAGTAGGTTACTGGTGTTGGGCCAACCCAGGTGGGAATAGGTTTCGTGCCTTGGCCTGTTCCCTCTTGGCGGCCTGGTGGCTGCCATCCTCCAGAGGCCTCTGGACAGTCTGAGCCCCAGTGACGAGACACGCGGGGCCTCACATGATGGGGGTGGATCTGGCCCTTTCCTCCTCACCCCATGGAGACCCCAATTTGCTGCCCACAAATGGCCTCTCTGGCTCCTAATCAAGCTGCTTAAAGGCCATGATCCCAGATCTCAGATCCCATGATCCCAGATCCCATGATCTCAGAAACAAATCTCAAAACCCAGTGGCTTTTGGCAGAAATGCATCCAGACCCCACAGTAAATTACTGTCGCTGGGCCACCCCAGGGGGGAAAGGGTGCTGTCCCTCCGCCTGCTTCCCCTAGGCGGTTTGGTGGCCGCCATCCTGCAGAGGCCACTGGTCAGTCAGTTGGGCCCTCAGTGAGGAGACACACAGGGCCTCACGGGATGGGGGTGAAGCCGGCCCTCTCCTCCGCATCCCAAAGAGACCCTGAGTCGCCACCCATGAACCGCCTTTTTGGTTCCTGATCAAGCTGCTTAACAGCCATGATCCCAGAGACTCAGGAACAAATCTTGGAACCCAGCAGGTTTTGGTAGAAATCCTCCATTTAAGTGTTAAAATTTTGGAATTTCAAAATCGAGCAGCCACGTGACATCATATGTTATTCTTAACCAGCAATAGAAAACAAATTGTCTACTGTTGCCTTTTCAGCAGATCTGAGTGTTGGGGTAAAATCCCAAATAATAATGGTGGGTCTGGTGTTGAAATATTGAATGTGATCAAAGTAGAGAGAGAGAGTAATGTGGAAATCATCTGCCCCACAGGTAGGGGGAGGGTGTGGGATGGGGGATATACTGGGGTTTTTGGTGGTGGAGATTGGGCACTGGTGAAGGTACAGGTGTTTCATTGTATGACCGAGACTTAAACCTGAAAGCTTTGTAACTGCTCTCACGGTGATTCAATAAATAAAGTTATAAAAAATGAAAAAAAAAGTAAGGTGGAGTTCATGCCCAATTCAACCAGCCTAATCAGTGGCTGAATAAATAGCAGTACTCCTACATTAAAAAAAAAAAATCACTGTTAATTGATTTATCACTGGTTTGCAATACTTTGGAATTTCAGGGATACAGTTTAACACCTCTATACATATACAGGACTCAATGATCTCACCACTAAAATTATAGCACCATCCTGTCACCCCCAAGACACCTGGCCCATTTCTCCATGCCTCTTGTAGCTATCTGGTAACCACCATGGTTTTCAAGGAGTCTAGAAACTAGTTTTGCTGCTTTCTGCCCCTTCCATATTCATGTTGTTTCACAGGTGAGTGAAACTCACATGGTAACCGTCTTTTGCTTCATTCAATCCTTTCAACATAAATTCTTTTTGGTCTGAAAGGTAGGATTTCATCCTTTTTAGTACTATTCCATGGAGACTACATTCTTTGGCTTTATTATGGTCACTTAGGTTGATTCCATGTCTTGGCTATTGTGAATAAGGCTGCTATGAACAGAATGAATGTAAAGATCCTTCCAAGTTACTGTTGTAGCTTTCTGTGAATAAATGACTGGGCATGAGACCATATGGTATTTCCATTCTTATTTGTTAAGGGGTGTCTGTAAGGTTTTCCTTAGAGGCTGCTCTAGTCTACAGCTTCACAAACCTTGAGCTGTACCAGAGTCATCCTTCACTTTCCACCTAATCTCAGTCAGCTCTCACTGTCTCTAGTCTTTGTGATGTGTGCCAGTCTCATTGGTGTGAGGTGATATCTCATTGTTTTCTTTCACATTTTCCTGATAGTAAGTAATGCTGAACATCTTTTTTATGTCTGTGGAGACCATCTGTACATCTTCTCAGGGAAAGGGTCCATTGAAAATTTTGGCCCATTATTTGAACGGGCTTTTGTTGTTCTGTTTTGTATGTGTCCTTTGCAAACTCTGAGTGGAAACCCCTAGTTTTATGTATATTGTGCAAATATCTTCTCCCAGTGGGTGGGGAGGCAGTTTTTTTTATTTCTGTGGTGGGGTTCTTTTGTTGTGCAAAGCTTTTTGATTTGAATAGTTCTGTTTGATTCATGCTCTTGTTTTCCTGGCCAAAGCAGTTAAGTCACCAAAAAACATCTCTACAGTTGAAGTCCTTAATTTTCTTCTACATATTTCATGGTTCCCAGCCTCACAGTCAAGCTTTCAATCTACTTTGCATTAATTTTTGTCATGGTGTAAAATAGTGATTTAGATTATTCCTCCTCCTCCTCCTCCTCCTCCTCCTCACCCTCCCCGTCCTCTTCTTCCCCTTTGTGGGGTTTTCCCAGCATTTCTTTTGAAAGCCTTCCCTTGGTCGCTGCATGATACGCGGAATGTCCATAAATGTGAGGGCTCTGTGTCTTCCAGTTGCAGGCTCAGTGCTTCAGTGCAGGACGCAGGACTAAAGAATTCACAGCCTCAATAATTACTCTGCATTTCCTCTGTGGTCCTGTGCACGTGGCAAGTTCTCACTGTCTCAGGCATTGCTTAAGTGGTCCTACACCCACCCCTATCCCCCGGCCCCCAGGTGGGTAATCGAGACTTCAGACCGGAGGCTACGGGTGAAGTTATTTCCTAGGCCCTACGTCGCCATCCACTTTCCCATGGATACCCCCACCCGCTGCTTTCTCCAGTCCGACAGTCTGGTGCAATATTGGACGGGCGGGTTTCCCACGTGGGCACCGGCTCCTTTAGCCAAGACTTGGACCAGAGCTGATGCTCTCCGTGCGTTAGCTTCTCCCGGAGCAGAAAGTTACGGAAAAGCTCCAAGAGCGGAGTGTAAAAAAATCCCGTTTTTAAATTTTTTTTTTATTTTTAAATTTTTTGACTTGACCATCGACACGCAGACGTCCTGCTGCAAGACTTAAGAGGTTGAAGGAGGTTTCCCTAGGAGGGTCTTCCTTCCGGGGCGGGGGGGAGCGCTGGACTCCCACCGGCTCAGTCTCTGCGGACCGGAGAACAGATGCAGGGGGAGGGGAGAGGAGGCGAAAGCGGGACGCGGCTGACAGAGGGCGGGGGGCTCTCTCTCGGCCAGCCCTTTGCAAGAGAGAGTCGCCGCCGCCGCGTGTGAGGGGAGGGGGCCTCCCGGAGGCGGCCGAAGCCCGCGGCGCTAGGACCGCGGGGCCGCCTGGCTGCGGCGCTGCTGGCGGGCGGGCGCGGAGGAGGGACGCGGGGCGGGACGCGGGGAGGGACGCGGGGAGGGAGGGGTCCGGGGCGGGCGCGCGGGGGACGCGTTTAAGTCGAGCGGCCGCCGCAGCCCGGGCCACTCGCAGTGCCCGCGCGCGCGGCTCGCAGCCGGAGGGACCGAGCGAGCGAGCGAGCGAGCGAACCAGCGCAGGGGGCGCCCGCTCGCCGCCTGCCGCACCGGAGCGCCCCGGGGTCGGGGCCGGCGAGCGGCGGCCGGGGGCATCGTGGGCTGCACGGGGGGCTGCACCGGGGGTCGGGGGAGCCGCGGGCCGGCGCGGCGCGGGATGGTCTAGGCGCCCGCGCCTGGGGGGAGCCCGGATCGCCGCGAGGGGCCGGCGGGAGGCAGCGCGCGGGGCGCCAGGCCGAGAAGTTAGTTGGCGCGGCGCTGCGGGAGCGGAGCGAGCTGCGGGCGGCCGAGCGGGCAGCGGCGGGCAGCGGCGCCGGGGCCATGGGCTGCGCCGGCCGCCTGGACCTGCTGCTGGGCGTGCTGGCGCTCTTCGGGGGCCGCCTGCTCCCCGAGGCCCGGGCGGCGCGCGTCTACACCAACCACTGGGCGCTCAAGATCGCCGGCGGCTTCCCGGAGGCCAACCGCATCGCCAGCAAGTACGGCTTCGTCAACCTCGGACAGGTGAGGGCGGGCTGGGCGGCCGGGGTCCCCCGCGCCCCCATCCCCATCCCCGTCCATCCCCCCACCCCGCGATCTCCGCCTCTGCCCCCCTCCCCCTCCTCCTCCTCCTCCTCCTCCAGATGTGCTCCTGCAGCTGCCGCCCCGACTCTCTTACTCTCGCGCTCTGTCTCTCTCCCCCCAAAGTTCCTAGGGTCCCTGTTTTTTTTTTTTTACTTTTTTTTAGCTTCTTGGTGTTTGTTTTCACTCGGGTGCCCGCCACGAGGGCTGCGGGGTTCCCCTCCCGCACCATCCCGAGAGGAGGCTGCGGAGCGCGCGGCCCCCCGGGCGCGCGGGAGGTCGGGGCGCAGCGGGGCCGCCCCGAGCCCTTTTGTCGGGAGGGGCTGAGCGCGCGTCTGCAGTCGGCTCGGAGGAGGGGAACCCCCTGCCCAGGGGGGCTCAGCGCGGCCCCCCGAGAAGTTTTCCTCTCGGGTGCTTGCGGGCGTGGGGGGAAGCGGAGCCAGGGCGGGAGCCGGGATCGGTGCGGGTGTGCGGGGCTGGGAACCCGGTGGCGACCCGGTGCGGAGCGGGGACCCGGACGGAGAAGCCGCGACCGGAGCGGGGTTCGCTGGTGGGATTGGAGACGGGAGCTGGGCTGGGCGGGGGGATGTCCCCGAGTTGGGTTTGGATCAAGGACCGGAGCTGGGACCAGAGTTGTAACTGGAGTTGTGCAAGCCGGGTCGGGTTTGGGGGAGGCCGGGCCAGGCGTGGACGCCGCGTTTCGGGGTGCCTGGCGCGTATCCCAGCGGGGATCAGGGGGGCTCGAGGTCGGGTGTGAAACTCCGAGGGGGTGACTGGCAGGGACCCGGAGGAAGACACCCGGCTCGCCCCCCGACACGTGCGTTTCGGGGTCGCGTAGCGACGCGGGGCTCGGGGACTCGGGGCGCACCGTGGGCACCGTTTGCGGGGTCGAGGGTGTCAGGCCGAGGTGTTGTGTAGGGACATGCCTGGGGTCGGGCGGAGTTGTGGGGGGATCTTTGGAAGAACTGCACCCCCTGGATGTGCCCCGGGCTGGACGGTCCAGGTCTCCCCACTGCGCGGGATCGGGGGGCAGGGATCCCTCGGAAGCGAAGGTGCCAAGTGCCTGACCTGGAGCTCAACCGGATTCCCGCAACCCGGAGGCCGAGGGATGTGGTGGGGCGGCCGCAGGGGACTCACGAGCACCTCTGTCCTGGCGTGCGCCCTGCGGTGCGGAGGGAGTCCTCCTCCGGAGGGTCGCCCCTGGCTTTGTGCCTTGGCGCCCCGGGAACCCGCCTGCGGGCGCCTCCACCCCCTTTCAGGAGGAGCTGGAGGTGTGAGACTCATGATCACTGAATCTTGCACTTTGAGGTGGTCCCACAGTGACCGTTGGAACCTGCCCTGGGAAGGCAGAGACCAAGGCAGGGGTGGGGGGTAGGGGCGCGGGCGGGGAGGCTGGGCGTGTCTCCAGAGCCCTCCTTTGCCACCCCATAACTTGAGGGAGTGTCTCCTTGCCTGCCTGCTTGCTGGCCATCTGCAGAAGCCCCTTTTAGGTGAGGTCCCAGCTGGTGCTGACCCCGAGCCTGGGAAGCGAGGAGGGTCTACACTGAAAGGAGGCAGGAGTTGATCCCAGGGCCGCCCAGAGGGCAGCTCAGGTTCAGCCACTGTCCAACCTTTCCTAGCTTCCTGGCACTCATGACAGAGAAAGGTCCTCACAGTGCCAGGCTTTCCTTTATGATCAGCAGATGACTGGTGGGGGTAGGCTTTTCTTCCCATTCAACACAACTGGAGACATTCACCTGCATCTGCGTTGTGGAAACTGGGATTATGGACCCAGGTCTGTGTGATAGAGCAGCTAGCTGGTTTTTCTAGGGACTGTCTTTTCTCCGGGGAGAAAGGAAGGAGAAAGGAAAAGTCCTGTTTTCTAGAAATCAGATTTCATAGCTCAGTGGGTTGGAAGGACAGGGCAGGTCTGGGTCCACTGATACTCTTCAGACAGACCTGTGACATCCTGAATCTAAGCCTCCCCATGGCCTTCGGGGACAGAGAGCTGTTTCTAAACAAACTCCCCCAAAAGAACTTAGATCCTGCAGCAACTTTGCTGGCTGAGGGAGAAGTTGTCACCCACTCTGGAACCAGCGTTTGCTCAGGCTCAAAGGACTCTTTACATAGGCCCTTCAAATGAAACCTGGTGAATTTTCCCTTAAGAAGTGATACCAGCAAAGTTTACATACTAGAAACACCAAACTGCACTGTGGCTCTTTTATAATGCCTAAGAGGAAATATGGTTCTGACAGGGATTACAGAGGACCTCTTGAACTGATGAGCCATAACCAGTGTAAAAGGATCTACTGTAAAGCTATTCTACTGTAAAGCATTTCCTCTGTAGATCAAAGCAGCTGTGGTTTTGTTTGTTTATTTTGTTTAGTTCTTTTTTTGGAGATGGGGGGGCTAAGTTTTTTGGGGGGGTGAGCTGCCAAGTTGAATTCACACGTGCAGTATCCTTGCACTGTGAGGGCAAAAGGCATTTTTTACTCACACTTTACTGCCCTGTCTTTTTAAGGCGTTTAGCCACCTGGTTGTTGTGCTTTGTCTCCATCACTAAACCAGCTGTGGTTCAGTTGAGGGCAGTAACTCATCTGCTAATGTCCCTGCAGTGTTCCCTGCTTTCGGCCATCTGCCCTTAGCGCCCCATTGCAAGTAGCACACGTTGGAGCTGAGAACCTGTTAGTGAATACAGAAGTCGCCTGATGCATTTTTGATGTCTTCAGTAATGATATTTTCGGTGAATGAGCTGGTGAATTTTAGCTGGGTAGAATTTTGACTGCGCAGAATTTTCAGTGGCAACGTTCAGAGATTTCTCCAGGAAAATGCAGGCATGCTGGTGCTGCTTCTGCTCATGCAAGATAAGGTGTGCAGCAGAACAGGAGAACAAGGAAGCAAACCGATGGATGGAAGAGCTGTTTGACTCCTTTGCAGGGAACCAGGGCTCCCTTTAGGGGAAGAGTTTTCTTGTGTTTGGTTAGTTAGAATGAAAGCATTTTGTTTGGAAAGGTTTTCATGGTTGTTGTTGTGTGTGTGTGAATGATTTATGCTCTGATGTTCTGAAATGATGAGCAAACTAATGATTATTATCAATCAGCATCTTCTCCAGTTTGCTTGATACCTCTGTCAGGTGAGGGGTGCCTCGCTCTCCTCCTCTAAGTCCCGATCCTATTCTTTAGTGTCCATCTGGGCAGGTGTGGGCATGGAAGAAGATGCCCTGCTCTTCCTTCGCAGTGTATTTTCACCAACTTTAAGAGTGTGGTGGGTAGAAGCAAGAAGTGATGTTAAGAAATGTGACCTGACATAGTACTGTAAACCTTTCGATGAATTCCTCTGCAAGCCAGGAGAAATCTGTTCCTGGTTATTTGGACCAGGGTGAAGCTCTCTTCTACATAGTAGTTTTGCTCTCCCTACTGAGGGTGGTTTATAATCAATCCTTGATTCCAAGTTGAGATGTAGGAAAAAAACTCCCAACCCACACCTCGTAAAGGATTTTTGAGCAAGACCTCAGAAGGGTAAAGTCAGATGCAAACAGTATAGGGGGTATCTCTTACCTGGGGTTGCCGTTGAACGCATCGACTCGGCCCTTCAGAAGAGCCAGATGCAAGGTCTGTGAAAGCAGGAATGTCACTGAACTTAATGGAGCCCCTGTTCCTTCATCTGTGAAATGATAAATCTCCATCTCAATTCTCCTAGAGTGAGCTGACTAGGCAATGCTTAGCACATAGGCTTGCAGTGAAAGTTCTGTGAATCTGAATCTCAAATCAGACTAGGTAAAGAGAAAGGAAGACATTTTTATAATGGAAGATGCAAAATGTGAAGATCAGGAAAATAAATTTTTGATGACTGAGTAAAAAGAGCTAAATCAGAGCTTTTAAGACAGGGAAAATGGTTTTCCATTTCAACTAACAATTCAAAATGGTTTTAAAATAGTTTCTGTTGGATTCTAGCTGATTTCCCATGGCAGGGCCCTCCTTCCTTGATCCATGAAGTCATTTATTACCTGCTAGAGGAGAACATTTCTGCAGAGAGAAGGAAGGGAAGGAGAACAACTGAAGACTGGCGATTTATTCAGCATTGTACCTTGGTGCATTGTGTTAGCTGATATTCCAATCTATATTTTAATTCTGAATGTCGTCAAGTGAGAAAGTGAGAAGCAGCTTTGGCAGGAAGAATCCTTGTTCAAAATGTCCTGAAGGCTTCCCACTCTGATGGCTAATTTTGACCTGTGAGTAATAGGGAATGCTAAAGTGTTCAGACATAGTGAAGAATGAGTTCTGGTGAGGGGATCGGTGTTGGAACAGTTTATGCCTGAAACTCAATCATGAATAACTTTGTAAATCACAGTGCCTTAAAAAAAAAAAAAAGTAAAAAGCGTGGCGTGACTTCTGGGCGCTTCCCATTGGCAGTGGAAATGGTGAATCTGGCTTGTGTGAGCTCCTGGGTTATGTGGGTGTGAAAGAGACACCCCCCCCCCCCCAAGTAAATTCTTAGGCATTTTGTAAATGGAAAAGCAAATTGATGTGTGGTCTAAGGTTGATCCCCGTGATATATCTGGTTTTACACAAGCGTATCTCCATGCCTAAGAACCTCAGTCCTGACCTCTGCTCTCCACTCTCTCATGCATAGTTCTCTGAGCAGGGGAATCTTTACTGGAAAAAGCCGTTCAGATTTCTTGGCCTGATAATGGTGAGTCTCTTGCATTAACCTCATAGACGAGGAATGGCTTGTATGTGGCCATTGGGACTTTGGGGATTTATTTGAATCAAAAACTACACTTTTGGGAGCCCAGAGGCGGCTGAATTTGCCTTATTGCTATCTTTCATAAGCTTAGTACCAGAGGTCCTAACCTTAAAGATCAGCCAGAGAAGCAGGATAGTGTGCTGGGAATATATCCAGCCCTGTCTGCTCTGCATAAGGGAGGGAGTCCTCACCCAGAACCGTCCCCTGGGCAGGGAGGG